TTCTTGCTTTTTCTTTTCCTGTAGTTTGGTGCTGCCTGTCCTTTCATGGTTATGTTGGGTTTCACTTTCTGTGTGCAGAATCCCTTGAAGAATCTTTTGTAGTGGTGGCTTTGTGGTCAATATTGTTTTAGTTTCTGCTTATCATGGAAGACTTTTATTGCTCCATCTATTTTGAATGATAGTTTTTCTGGGTAGAGTATCCTGGGGTTGAAGTTATTTTCATTCAGTGCCCAAGATCTCACCCCACACTCTTCTTGCTTTTAATGTTTCTGTTGAGAAGTCTGCTGTGATTTTGATGGTTACCTTTGTATGTTATTGTTTTTCTCTCTCTTACAGCCTTCAATATTCTTTCCTAGTTTCTGTACTTGTTTTAATGATAATATGCCATGAGGTAGTTCTATTTTGATCTGGCTTTTGTGTCTGGAGGCCTCTTGCATCTGTATGGGATATCTTTCTCTAGATTTGGAAATTTTCTGTTATTATTTTGTTGAATATATTATGCATTCCTTTGCTTGCACCTCTTCTCCTTCTTCGATGCCCATGATTCTCAGGTTTGGTCTTTTGATGGAGTCAGTGAGTTCTTGCATTTTCTTTTCACAGGTCTTGAGTTGTTTAATAGTTCTTCAATTTTTCCTTTAATTACCATTTTCAAGTTCTGAGATTCTGTCTTCTGTTTTTTTGTTTTGCAATTCTGTTTCATTCTTTTTTCTGAGGTTTTCCATATCTTGGGTCATTTCCTCTTTAATGTTGTCTGTTTTTGTCCTGAGTTCATTTACCTCTTTATTAATCATGTTCTCTGTTTCACTTTGGTGTTTATACAGTGCTTCTATGGTTTCCCTTTATTTCTTCTTTTTGCTTTTTCAAATTCTCTATTTTTGTTGTCTTGGAATTTCTTGAGTGTCTCCTGTACATTTTGGTCGACCCTATCCAGTGTCATCTCTATAAAATTCTCATTGAGTACCTCTAGTATTTCTTCTTTTAAATTATTCTTGTGGGCTTCATTGGGTTCTTTGGTAGAGTTTATCTTCATTTTGTTGGAGTCTGGGTCTGAATATCTGTTTTCTTCATTTCCCTCTGGTTCCTGTACTAATTTTTTGCTGTGGGGAAACTGGTTTCCCTGTTTTTTCTGTCTTCCCGTCATTGTCCTTGGTGTTGTTACTGTCCCTGTACTGTGTGCAATTACATATTTTCTGGCTTATAATAATAGCACTAGTGATATTTAGAATGGAAGGGTGAGAGGAGATGGAAAGCAAAGAAGTTAAAGGGAAATACAAATAAACAAGTAGAAAAAAACAAAACAAAGAAACAAACAAAAAAGTTTCAAAGATATAAACAGGGGAGGCAGTGTACTAATCAACCGTAAGGTGAAAAGGCATTAGAGAGATTGAGATAGAATTGAAAATAAAAAATAAAAAATAGAAATAAAAATTTAAAAATAAATAAATAAATAAATAAATGTATAAAATCTCCAAGTTCAAATGCAATGAAGTTTCAGTCTTAATAATTTTGGTGTTCGTCCCTCAGCCTCCAATCCTGGAGATGGTGCCTCAGATGTTGTTCTGTAGTTGTCTCATCAAAGGGGAAAAATAAAATGAAACAAAACCGCACAAAACAAAAAAAACCCCACAAAGAGTCCCAAGTTCTTTCAGGTTTGGACCCATCCTGAGCTCCCCCGGCATTTAGAGCCTCTTGTGAATGCTGACAGGTTTGCTCTGCACATGAGGTGTTGCTTCGCTCTCGCAGATTTCAACACTCTTTCCTTGGTCCATACGCTAAATGTTTTAAATATAATACAACATGGAGGCTCTTTCTGGTCTCTTCTGGTTTTCTAAAAGCCTGCTGTTCTGTAATGATCATCTATTTCCCAAGATTTGGGAAATTTTCTCCTAACATTTTATTGAATATATTTTCTGGACCTTTTGCTTTTATTTCTTCTCCTTTGTTTCTATGTCCATGATTCCAAACTGTGGTCTTTTAAGAATGTACCAGAACTTTTATTATGGTCCATTTGTATTTTTTTGTCTTTATCTACATGTCTAATTCATTCACCCTGGTATTCAAACTTGATCCAATTGCTGGTGAGCTTTTCAATTGAGTTTTTTTATTTGGGCATTATGAGCGTTTCATTTCCTGAATTTTCATTTGATTTCTTCCAGATTTCTGTGTCTTTATTGGATTCCTCTTTTATATCCTGATTTCATTTGGCTGCTAATTTGTATTCTCGTGGAATCCACACACATTTATTTATATCCTCTTTACTTTAGTTGATCATTCTTATAATCATTCTTTTGAATTCTTTGGGGTTTCATAGGGTCCATTACCATGGAGTTCTTGACTTTTGGAGTAGTCACATTGCCTTGTGTTTTCACACTTCTTATGTTTCTGCATTGGGATTTGTGCATCTAAGGCCAAGTTGTTCAGAGGTTTTAATCATCTGTAGTTTTTCAGATGAAATATTCTCAGTGTCCAGGCAGGACTGAGTAGTGGCTGGGTTGAGGTGCAGTTTCTCACCTCTTGCTGGGAGTGTAGCTCAGAAGCCAGACATTTTCCAATCTGCTGAGGGCACCAGGTCCAGAGAAGGAAACTAGCTGGAGTCTCTTGTAGTTCCAAGTATATATGTTGTTGCTGTTGGACTGAGGTTGGTGCCAGTCAAGGGTCAGTTGTTGGATTCAGAGTTACTTTCATTTTTGAAACTTCCCTTCTTTGTGTACCAGGAGTCATTGATGGCCACAAGGACTTTACAGCCCATGGGTTGGACAGGTTCCCACTTGCTCCACAGACCCCCTTTCTGTGCCCCCAGTGGCAGGAGACATCCAAGCTGAGGGGTGTCCCCCAAATCTGTCAGAATGGAAGAAACAAATAGGGCACTGAACTTTGCACTGGAGGGGAGAACAGAGGAAACCTGGCTCTTTGCCTCTGGTCTCAGTGCTTCTGGACCTGTCCAGTAGTTGACCACCCTTTGGGAGGAAGGAGGCTGGGGGAATCGTGACTTGTGGGACCTAGGCCCAAAGCTCTCAGGCCTGTTTGAAGCAAACCACACTGTTGCTAGGAGGAAGCTCCCAAGGCTAGCACCATCTGCCAGCCCTGGGCACCATCTGCCAGCCCTGGGCTCAGGACTCAGTTTCCACAGTGATCCTCAGGCATTGGGGCTTATCCTCACCACAAGGCCCATGACCACTGTGCCTGTCACTGACTGAGCTCCTTGCTGCTTAAATTCCCAGCAGGTTCACATCAGACCCTCCTTCTCTCCATGACCTCCTCTTGAGATTGTCTTCCACCCAGATGCCATGCAGGGTGTCCCCAAGATTCCCTGAGCCATAGTTGATCCTTGTTTTCAAGTCTGGAGTAGCTCAGTTTCAAACAATAGGCCCCTTATCAAGATGTCACCCAGCTACAGCTCTCCAAGGTGTCAGGAGTGACAAAATGGCTTTCTTCTTCAATGTAAGCCTGCCATCCAGAAGGAGTCACTGTCACACCAAATCCCCACCCTTGTGAGAATTGCAGGCTTTTCAGATGTTCTGTCACCTTCTCTGTGATTCCCGATGCTTTTTCTCTCTTTGATACATTGGCTCCCATTTTTCTGCTCTGACTCTTCTCATTCACAGAGTCACATGGAGGAAGCTTCTCATTCTCCACTTGCCCCAGGCTCTGTCTGTGTATTTTCTTATCAGTCATGTCTGTTACATTCTGTTTGGTCTTTTCTATAGCAGTGGTTCACACCTATAATCCTAGCTGCTTGGGAGGCTGATAATCAGGAAAATAATGGTTCAAGGCTAACCTGGGCAAGTAGTTCATGAGACCTCCCCCCCACCAAAATAGCCAGAGCAAAATGGACTGGAAATGTGGCTCAAGTGGTAGAGCACCTGCTATGCAAATGCATAACCCTGTGTTCAAACCCTGTCCCACCAAAAAAGGAAAAAATACACTTGTGAAGATATTTCCTTTTCTATTGTTTTTAATATCTGTATCAGTTCTGTGTTCATTTTGATTTTACATTCTTATTATGGGTTATATTTTCCTGCTTATTTGGATGACTGTCAATTTTTTATTAGATGCCAGAAGTCATGACTTTTACCTGGTTTGAGAGCTATATTACTTTTGTATTCCTACATAATTCTTGATTTTCTTTGTTCTGGGACATACTTAAGGTACTTGGAAGTAGTTTGAGCTTCTGGGGCCTTCTTTTAGGATTCACATGGTGTAAGCTGAGCTAAGTCTAGCCTAGGGTGAATTATTTCCCCACTCCTGAGAATTGCAGGCAAAGCCCAGGAACAATGAGGCTTTTCTCTCTATGGTGACCCTTTCAAATAGCCTTTTTCACCAGTCTTGGGGATTTACTCAAATGTATGCATTGTCCAGTCCTCAGCTGAGTACTCAAAGGAGACCTCCAGAAATCATTGAGCTCTCTGTGTGCATTGAATTCTTCCCTCTACTGAGTTGGACCTACTTGAATAATCCAGGATAATCTGTTTTAATATCTACAACTTTACTTATATCTGCAATGTCTTTTTTGCCATATGACACAAAATTTTCATAGTATCCAAAGATGAATGATGGATCTCTCTGGGAATCCATGTGTGTTCCCATCAGTGTGTGCATGTGTGTCCGTATGTTTGTGTGAGTGTGTGTGTGTGTTTTGTGTGTATGTATGTGAGCATTTGTGTGAGCATGTGTCTGTGTGTGAGTTGTAGCACTCCTCAGCAAGCTTTGGGTCTACTCCTGGGAGTTCCACGTCACAATGGCTTCATGCTCAGCAGTGGGAAATTAAGAGAATTATACCCTTCCCTTCCTGTGGCATTTATACCCTGCACTTGAAGCACGTTTTAGGTTTTGTTTTGTGTGAAGTGCAAAATTTTGTGGCACCAATGAAGAAAGAGAACTGAGAGAGATCAAGGTATTTGTCTCAGGTTACAAAACACATCACTTCCACATAGGGTTTGTGCACACTTTTTGTTCCATTCTTACAGAGAGTCAACTCACAGTCTCTGTTTACATCCTAGTTCTCTGGGCGACATTAAAATAGCTGAAGTGAACGTCATGGGCTTGTTTGTGAAGCTTGTTAACTCTTCCCGGGACAAAGAACTGGACATTGGAGGTCACACCCTGCAGCAAAATGTGAATGGACAGCCGGTGTCTCTCTACTGCTTCGTCCCCAACACTGTGATGCAGGCCAACTCCATGGTGACAGTGAGTACCAGGCACAAATACACGCAGTAGGGACATTTGTGCTGTAGCCTACAGCCCCAGCTTGGCAGCTCCTCATTATTTGATCCCTTTGAAAATGTGAGTTTTTGATGCTGACGTTCGATTGTGCCTCTTGGTCTATGACGTGGATGTGAACAAATGCCTGTAATTTAATTTTTACAACTTTGTGCAATTTGATATACAGTATCATTTTTGTTTTTATCATTTAACTATTAAAGTGAAATTCCTAAGTTCTTATAACTAAGCCAAACAAGTTCTTAGAAGGAAAACAAAGGAATTATTTGCTCAGAGAAGAGGCTTCAGGTGATGATGGAGGGAGCCCCTTTCTTGTGCTTTCATTTAAGACCGTGCACAGTACCTATTTGCTGTTAACTAGCTTGGCGTTATATGTTATACAACCATGATAATACATATATTTATAGCTTGGTTTTATATATTTTACAATCATGATATATACATATATTTGTGGGAGAGAAGCACTGGGGTTTGAACTCAGGACCATGCACTTTCTAGGCAGGTGCTGCTGTACCCCATGAGCCATGCCCTCAGCTCAAGGTCATTACATTTTATAAACCTCATCTGAAGCAAGGCACAGTGACACACACCTGCAGTACCAGCTACTCAGGAGACTGAGACAGAAGGTTCATTTGAGCCCAGAGTTGGAAGCCAGTCTGAGCAACAGCATTTTTGCTAATTAGTAAATAAATAGATCAGAGGAAGCCCTCACTGTTCAGAAGCACTAAGCTACGACACCCTGTGGTGTCTGCAGAGCTGGGTCAGGCCTGTGGCCATTGTCACTGATGGATGGTTTTCTCTTCTCGAAGGTGTGGGCAGCAGCATCAGAAGGGAAGCACCAGCCCCCCTCGGACTTTGTGTGGAAGGAGCAGGTCAAGTTCCAGTCGACTCCTGACTGCACGACCATCCTGTGCAAGCCCAGTGGTGAGGTCAGTGTCTGCTTCTCAGCCACAGCTCAGCACAGGAGGGGTGACTGTGCTGTCCCTGTCCTCCTAGCTTACTGTCACATCCCATCCTGAGAAGCCCGGAGAGCCATAGCTAAGTTCCAAGATTGCTCAGGCTCCACTGACACCATGTCCCCAGAACCACAGAGCTGAGTTGCTCAAGGCTTGACCACAGTGATGTCCCCAGGGCTCCAAGAAGCCACTTGAAATGTCAGGGTCAGGGGTGGGTTTTGTGTGTGACATCAGCCTGAAGGGCAAGACCAGGAAGGCCATCACTGCCTCTCCACCTTCACCCACCATCAGGCATGGCCCTAGGTACCAGAGATAGGTAAGTGCTCCCCAGTTTGCGTCCTCCGGAGACTCAGAAACCCATCAGTGAAGATGCAACCTCACAGCCCTGCAGTGCAGGGAGATGTCCCAGTCACAGGGTCACAGCTTGGTAGGGCAGCCAGGAGCGCTGCTCTGACGCCTGGACTGCAGGACAGGATGCCCCCATCTTCACCCCATTTCCCATCCTTTTCTCTGTTCTAACCACTCGGCTGTTCTCGTACTACTTCTTTTTATCACAAAATATTTTTTTCACTTTTTATTAGCATCTAACAGCTTAGGAGGACACATTGTGACATTTGCATATGTGCTTTCAACATACCTTAGTCAAATTCGCCTCCTCCCCCTCCTCCTCCTTCTCCCCCTCCCCACTTTCTTAGAACAATTCCCATGGGTTTCATTCTTCTGTTTTCCTATGTGAATACAAAGTGCATTCACTATATCCCTCTTCTTTTCCCAAGATGGGTGGCTTCAGTTCTGACTGCTCCTTGTGGCCATAGGACCTTGACATGTGCTCCTGCTCCCCCATACACTCCTTTCCCATTTCACCTGTTAAGTCCCTTCTGCAAAGCCTGGCAGCCAGGCTTTGCTTCTGGGTGACATCCCTGTGCAATGTCTAAGCCATGGAAAAGCAGTCAGCACTGTTTAATTCAACTGAGAAATATTTCCATGAAATATGCTGAAATGTAACTACTTTAAGTTAATGTGAGACCCTAATGTAAGCACAGAGTTCTTTTTTTACAAATTCATTCCCATTCCCACTTCAGTGATACTGGGCCTCACTGCCTGAAATAGCCAGACAGATTTTCCTTAAGAAGACAAACTGTGGGTGGTGAAGCCCCAAGTTCAAACCCCAGAACTGCAAAAAGAAAAAACAAACAAACAAACAAAAAACCCACTGGGTGCCATGGGCTCAAACCTGCCATCTTATATGCTTTGAGTAGGATACCCAAAACTACATCCTACTCACACAGGAAACTGAGATCATGATGATCACGGTCAGGCCAGCCTTGCAAACAAATTCATGAGACATCATTTCAATGGAAAGAAGCTGGGCATGGTGGCTCACACCCAGTGAGGGTGGGAAGCATAAAATCTGAGGATCACAGTCCTCACAAAAAGTGAGACCCCATCTCCAAAATAATCAGAGCAGAAAGGACTGGAGGTATGGCTCTGGGCAGAGTGACTGCCTAGTCCCGAGTTCAAACCCCAGTACTGCAAAAGAAGAAGAAGAGGACAAGAAGGAGGAGGAGGAGGAACTGCCTCCATGCTGCATGTCAGAAAATCCATAGGTGTCTTACATGTATTCAATCAACATCTGCACCTGGCTAGGCCCTGGCTCTGCTGTTGAGGTCCACGCGGCCAGCAGGAGGGAAGAGCTGGGGTCTTGTATTGCCTTACTGGGTTCTCAGCTATAGTCAAGTGTTTTACAGGAAGACAGTGAGACCTGGGAGCTACATAGTTCTGGGTGACACAGTCAGTGAAATAACAGAGCTCATCCTAGCTTCCAGCTCAGAATTTTTCTGTTATTTTTTTTTTAATGGAGCTGGAGTTAGGCAGACATTCTAACATTTCAGCTACTCCCCCCAGCCCTTTTTACTTTAATTTTTTTTCAAATAGGATCTCATTTTCTGCCTGGGCTGGCCTTAGACCACAGTCCTATATACACTTCCCACATAGCAGCAATTACAGACATGCAACATCATGCCCAGCTTGTTTGTTGAGATAGGGCTTGATAACTTTTTTTGCCCTTGATAGTCTCAAACCATGATCCTCCAAATCTCCTTCAGAGTAGCTGGAATTATAAGCATGAGCCACCACACGGAGCCAAGATGTTTTCTATGGTACTAAAAGTAGTCTACAAGTTTCATATGGTCAGCACTCCAGAAGAGAGTTAAATTCTATCACATTGTTCTGCCTCATCAAATATTTTTAAGTGTTCACAAAACAGGGGGAAATAAAATATTGCTCTTGCCTAGGAGACACATAAAATGTAATTAAGAAAAATGCACTAAAAAGATGATGGGTTTATTTTCAATATGTCTGCATCTGAGCTACTGAAGGGAAAGAGCCCTTGCTGGTCACCAGCTGCGGAGTGGAGTTTTCTTGCTGTTATTCATGAAAATGGGCTTTTAAAATTTTTAATTTTCCTTTTTCAGATCAGCCTCACCCTGACAAATTTGCCTTTGCACCCACATGTCCATTTAATTTGTCAAGCAGACCTGAGGGTTTTTGAGGTCGTGGCATGAAACCAAACCTCTAATTTTATGAACAAAAAACATGTCCCATGAGCAAGTAGGATTTGGGGGACATGTTGGAGCTTCATTCCTTGTGCTGAGGGGAGACGGGTTCCCCCATGCGTGGTTTGTTCACTGTGCCCCCCAATACCCAGAAACTGAGGCAGCTCCAGCTTCACGCTCAGGGGGCTCCTTGGTTCTCATTCATAGTCTGCTTCCCATCTCTAGTTTACTGTCTCTTCCTGAGAGAGAGAGAGAGAGTCATAAATGATTAAAATTCCAACTTGTTAATATTGCAACTACTCCCAGCACAGTTCTTTGCTGTCCCCAAATCCAGCAGCTTCAGTGAATTTGCAGCATTCATTTAGAGACCCCCTCCCTCCCCTCCATGTTACATGTGAGGACAGAGTCCAGGACACCAGGCAACCATCCTGGAAACCCATGCCCTTGTCATGGGCCACAGTCCACATGCGGTCAGCAAATGGCATTGCACAGCTGGTTTTTGAAATGTCGCACCTTATCACACACCACGCACCAAATCATCTTAAAACAGATCTAAACTGAGACCTGAAACCATGAAGCTCCAGAAGGGAACAGACAGGGACAGTCTCAGACTGTGACCTTGACAGTGACATTTTGGTGTCACACCCAGGCTCAGGCTACTGAAGCTAAACAATTAACAAAATAAAACAGCAGCCAATGAACTGGAAAAAATATTTGCAAACCATATATCTGATAAAAGCTTAATATCCAAATTTTGTAAAGAGCCCTTATAGCTCAATAGCAGAAAAGCAAATAACCCAGTTGAAAATGGGCAAAGGACCCAGACAGACAGACACATCTCCAGACACAACATGAAGATGACCCCGATGGAGTTAGGAAAAGGCATTGGGCATCGCTAGCCATCAGGGAAATGCAAATCACCTGATGCCACCTCACATCTGTAAAGACGGCTAGTACCAACACTGTGTTTTATTTATTCTTCATTTTGGCTGTGCTGGAGATCGAACCTGAGGCCTTGCACATGTAGGCAAGTGCTCTACCCTGGGCTGCCCCAGCCTGAGACAATGGAGTGGCCCTGTGGTCTCCACATCCCTCCCGAAGGGCTTCACTGCCCGTGAGGACGCAGCCGCCCACTTTAGTATCAAAAGGATGAGAGGTGGAGGTCGTAGGGAACCCACAACACTGTGAGGGGATGTAGACTGTACCAGCCATGATGGAAGACAGTGTAAAGAAATCAAAACCAGAGCTACTGCCCAGCCCCACAGTCTCTCCATGGGCTGGACATGTAGAGAGATGAGGTCACCGCCTTGTGAAGGTCTCTGCCCCCTGAGGCCATTGAAGCTTTGTTCACAGTGGCCAAGACAAGGCAACAACAAATGGATAAAGAAAATATGTACAATGGAGTAGTAGCCTGAAAAAGAAGGGGATACTGTCCTTTGCTACCACACAAATGGACGTAGAGGACATTAGGCAGAGAAAATAATTCAGACAGAAAGAAAAATGGTTTGTGACCTTACTGGCATTTGGGATCTTCTGAAAAGTTCAAATATTGGGCAGAGATAGGGAATAAAATTGTAAGATCCGGAGATAGAGTTGGGGAGGAGGAAATGTCACAGCACACAAAACGGCAGGTGTGCAAGATAAACCCGTCTAGACATGCATGTACAAGCTGAGGCTGTAATTAATTAAATTGCATCGCACTGGGACCATTTGCCGAGTAAGTTTCACCTGCCATTCTCACAGGGAGAGCAGCTCCGTGAGGTGACAGCTTACCCTGCTTCCCTGAGGGACCATTCCCCTCTGTGGACCTCAAAACACTGCACAGTAAACCTCAAATACACACAGTATTGGAAGATAAGTTCTGCTGCAGTAGTCAGTGGCATTGAAACATGTGTCCCTGCAGTGACGTTTGTCATTGACAAACCGCTTCTGCCAGGCTGTGGCGTGGTACACGCCCATCCACTGGAAGCAAGCGTGGGAAAAGCTGGAGACCGACATTGAGTTTGACCGCTGCTCTGTGGTCACCCCCACATTCCGAAGGCATGTGTTTCGCTGGACAGCGTCAGAAACCACGATGACCAAGGAGAAACAGGACGAGCCTAAGGAGGACCCGACCGGGCCCCAGGAGGAGCAAGGCCTGCAGCTTCTTAAGAGGTAGGATGTTTTATTCAGCCCTTCCTGTGGCGTGCCAAGTAAGCCAACCACGGTGCAAAACCGCCCATTTGAACAGAGCCCATGTGAAAAGTGCAAGTCCACACAGTGGGTAGCCATGTTCTTATGGGCAGTGAAGGCTGATGGTCTTGGGTAGGGACGTGGAGACCTAAAGGCCACTCCATTGTCCTCGGTGCTGCCCCCCAGTCCAGGCTGCTGTGCAAGGTGAGGGGAGCCGGGCCCCATCCTCAGCAGAGCTCAGGTGGAGAGAGGGGAGCACGGCCTGAACTTCCTCTTGATCAAGAGCTGACCATGGACAGATGTGCAGTCGTCCTTTGTTAGTAGGCAAATGCTTCTGATGTCACAGCAAGTTCCCGCCCTCGCCCTCGAGGCTGAGAACCATGAGTTCCTGCCGTTCTAAACTTGCTTTCTCTTAAACTGCTCCTCAATGCCATGGTCACCACTGAAATGCCTTTGGGTCCAAGTTGGTCTTTTCTTCTTTTGCAGAGAAAAGGAAATCCCACCGTCTCTTTTCCCTAACCGCAGTCCATGGTGCAACAGTCCCTGTGCCCCTGCACACCCCTACAGCCCTCTGATTGACCCGCACAAGGCCTCCTGCACCAGGAGCAGCTCACGGCCCAGGCCTCAGCCAGCCAAGCCCAGTCCAGCCCCAGGTAAGTCACTGGTGCTGATGCCAGGAGGGCAGGGAGTGTGTGTGCACGTGTGTGTGCATGTCTGTGTGTGTACTTGTGTGTGAACACACTGTGTTTGTGGACCCCATGTATATGTGTGTACATGTGTGCACACGTGTCTCTGTGTGCATGCTTGTACATGTATTGTGTGTACACGTGTCTGCACACCTGTGTGTGCACATATACTCATGTCTACATGTGCATTTGTCTGCAGTAAGTATGCGTGTGTTGGCATGTCTGTGTTTATGTGCATTGTGTATATTTGTGTGTATGCATGTGTGTGTGTGCATGTGTTTATCCATGTGTTTGTGTGCATGTGTGTTGCACATGGGCACATGAGTATTTAGACCTATCCAGATCCCCCACCAAGGCCCTTAAGGTGAGTGACACGAACCGCTGCCTTCCTTTGCCTCAGCGTGTCTCCACAGTTTGTCCTTCACAAGTGACTGTTGAATGACTCAATAAATCAAAGGAGCACACAGACAGCAGTGTGCATGTGGTGCTTGAAGCTCATGAAAAACACCTGTGTTTCTCCATCAGGCAGGAAAAACTGGTACCACAGGTTGTGCTGTGACAAAAACTACCCAGCTCTTCCAAACACACTACTATAGTAATCCCCAATTCTCACTCTTTTTCAACCAGAAGCTTCTGAACCCCTATGCACAGAGCTTTCAAAGCTGGTGTTAAAATGGGCTCTGTGAATGGGTTTCCACTCCATTCCATTTTGCTTCTGCTGATCTTGGTGTAGAAGAGTGTGCCTGTGTGATTTTTTTCTGGGGGAGACTGCATGAGCTCCTTCAGATGCCCCCACATATCTGAGAGAACTGACTTAGAAGAACATGGTGCCAGAAGGACCCAGATCCTAACATGGACAGAATCTGCTTAGTACAGTAGCATGTCCTGCTGAAGTTACAATGATTTGCAATTTGTATTTAGCAGAGAGATGCTTTCTTTAAAAACTGAAATATTAAGCGGAATCCCAACGTATGGAAGCAAACAAAAACACCTATCCATGAAAAAGAGTTCTCAATTCCCACTTCATCTCAGATCTGACATTCTCCTTCTGTGATCAGTGGAGTCACAGGATTTTCAGAAAACCCTCAGAAAAGCTTGTCACATCCTTGAGAAAAAAATATCCCCCAAATAGTGGGCTTTTAGAACTGGAAGATGATAAGCCAGACACTTGGGTGGCTCACACCCTGTTAACCTTAGCTTACTGAGCCTGAAGATCAGGAAGAAAATCGGAGGTTTCCAAGACCAGGCTGAGACCCCAGTCTTCCCCAAAATACCAGAGCAAAAAAGGGACAGGAAAGGTGTGGCCCCCAAGAGGGTAGAGCTTCTGCTTAGCAAGTGCAAAGCTTCTGAAGTTCAAAAACCCCAGTTCCCATTTAAAACAATGTTTTTGAATGCTGTTAAATCTTGTAAATTACTGACTATTCCCATTTTTTCATAAAATTACCAAACATGCTTCATTTACTTTGTCTGTGAAAATTAACGAAATTTGGATTGAGTTTTTTCAAAAGAAGCTCTTTTGAAGCAGTAATTTTTGCATGTGAGAGGTTTCTGAGAGTAATAAAACATTTTCAGAATTTATATTTTGAGACTCCTAGAAATATGACTTCAATATTTTTCTAAACTGTGGATGACAGCCCTGAAACTAACTGGATTCATCCCTAAACAACTTATTTGTCAAAAGAAATGTAGTTTTCCAGTCCTTGAAAGCAATTTTTTCTGAGTGGGAGGCCAGCTTTCAGCTTGGTTAATGCAAGTGTCCTCTGCTCAAAACGAAAATTTTCACTCCTGTGGTTGGGGTGTTTTGTGATGATAACTCCAAAAAACAGTTTTGAAAAGGGCCTTATTGCCTCATTATTAGTTTAACTTTTAACAAATAATACACCCAGAATATAAGAACCTTTTCTTTGATTTTCTGTTTGGCAAAAAGATGATCCCTGGTTTTTGGAAGGACATGTCCAATGATGACTGGTCAATGAGTGATTGAAATAAAACAATTCCTGAAAATGAAAGAAACTAGAAATGAGATTCATTCAAGGGAAAAGTTTACAGGGCTTATTAAAAACCCAGTCTTGGTTTAATTTGTCCTACGATTGGACTAACTTGCCTGGTAATTAGCACAATACTTTTAAACTTGCAGAGGAAACACAGATGAAAACAAAAAATTTATCAACTTGCCAACTTACAGGCTCCCCCAATTCTGGCCTCCCTTTTACCCATAAAATCCTGCTCCCGTATTTACCAGCCTTTTAAATAGACTTGGTTTCTGTTTACAGAAGAAATTAATTCTTTGTAATAGAATGAATAGTTTTCTTGCTTCTTAGCTGGTCCTCCTATTAAAATACGCTACAGAGGAGCCCCTAGAGAATAAAGGGGAATAAGTTTTTTATAGAAATATCCTTTCATTACATTACAAAAGTGTCCAAGCAAACAATTCTGTTTTTTTAAAAAACCATGCTTTGAGTGGGGCTCAAAAGGTAGAGTGCCCTACTTAGCAAGCACAAAACCCTGATTTCAAACCCCCAGTACTGAAAAAATTAATTTTAAAGACATGTTGAACAAAATCCAATAAAAAGTACCTAGAAGTAAAAACCAATTAAGCTTAATATTTAAATTAAATGGATCTCAAATATTTTTGGCCTTAATTTTCTTCACTTTCAAAAAAGTCCCCATAAAATTTTTGAACAATCGTTTTGAGCTACAACTGGAATAAGTTCATCTGATTCATTTTTTACCTTTTTGCGCTGCCGTTGTGTGGAATCCCCCACAAAACACATGCAGTGCAGTTTCTCTGTTCTCATTTCATAAATGCATCATGCAGATGGATCTCCTCCCTCTGTCTTAACAGTACAATCCAGAGGATTTAACTCTAGTGGAATATGTAGATGTATCACTTTAATTTATATGATGTTCCTTATACAATTGTGCATATTTTGTCTATTTAACCCATTACTAATTCTTCACTCTGCTTCAATGTTAGATGAAAACCCTGTGTGTACTTCAATTGTGCATTCTCCCACTCTCTGCACTATAGACCCTTAACACACATGCACCAAGGGGTTCTGTGGGGTTTTACCCAAACTTTCCCAATTCCTCTGCAGTCCCATGGTGTCCTTGCTCAGTTGTGTGGCATTGCAAACTTCATTACATTTTGCCAACTTGTGCTCCCTGTCTACAGTGTGTAGGGTTCCCCATTTCCTTGCTCTCACCAGGACCTGGTGGATGGTGACTACAGCTCACTGCTGTTTTAATGGGAAGCTCCTCTTTCACAGTGAAATTGGATGTCTTTTCATAAGTAAAAAAATGAAGAAAATGTTCCCTGTCTCATGATGATAAGTTTATGTGCTTATATTTGTTTTTAATAGCTTTTAAATTTTTTGTGAATGTAAGTTAAGTACTCTAAATTCCCTTTTTTGCTAATAAGTTGTCAAAGTACTAATTTATATTAGACTTCAATAAATCAAGATGGCAAATAGAAAGGAGCTGGGGATGCGATAAGGTATGGAATAGAAGTTTCCTCTGTTTGACTCTGTGAAAGAGAAGAGTTGGGGTAACAAAGGAGAGACTTCATTCTGGAGAGAGACAGAGCAAGAGAGAGGAAGAGCATCAGGAACCACAATAGAGGAACAGGACAGCTGAAAAGCACAGAGGACAGGAGAGAAGAAGACATTGTTGCTCCCCATGCCTAGAGAGCTGCAGGGAGTTAGTATCTTGACAGAGGACCATCATTTGAGACTGAGTCACTCTGAGGCCTTAGAAACAAAGTAAAGTCGTGGCACAGAGGCTCAGGACACTCTGTATGGTATCCAGGAGGACATGGGTATGGGGAGGGAGAGGACTAACATGGGCCCACTGAGAAGAGTACTGTGGTCAGTGGCTCTGTCTGTCCCTGGCAAGAAGCAAGTCTCATTGCTGGAGGATAAGTAAGGAAACAGAGAACCAAGCCTATGGCCAGCAGAGGACTCAGCCTCCAGGAGCTTCCTGCCAGTTGCTGCTCTTTGCTGCCAAGCAGGACTGAGAACCCTGATCACAAGCACTGAGAACCATGGGATTCCCCAGAGTGCTCTATCCACGTGTTAGGGACAGGCTGGGCAGAGTACAAGAGCACTGCAAAGGCCTCCTAGAGCTGCCAGGCAGACCAAGAGCTCTGAACACAGGTCCTGTGAACCACGTGGTCTCTCCAGCCTTCTCCACCCAGGGGGTGATAAACTGCTTGGTGAGGTCTGACAGTGTTGGCACAGTACACAGAGAGTCTGAGTGCCTCAGTTCTCCACCAATGCAGAACTTAGTGCTTGTTTGCTTGTCCAGCACATTCAGGGAACACTTCTAGCCCTGGATACTTGCTGACCCCGGGGCCCAAACTGGGAGGCTGTAGAGCACTGGGAACCTGCCTGGTCCACAGGCCACAAGCTCCTGTGGTTCCCAATACTCAAAGAAGGAAAGGTTTGAAAGTGAAAGGCATTCCAGAAGTAGATCACTGACTCTTGACTGGCCCTACCCTCAACCCACACACAGCACCAACCTGTGCTCTAGGAGCCATGAGAGAACCAGCTAATTTTTGTCCATCAGGGTGGTGCTGGGATCAGGCCCATGCATGGAGCACATGGACAAATTGTAGTCATGGAGTGATACCTCCAGTTCAGTGGTGAGAAACTGCATCTCAACCCTGCCCCCACCATCCCAAACACTGAATATTAAGCTGAGTGTATACCAGGGATGAAAATTTGCTACTAACAACTTGGCGTCAAAAGCTGAAATCCCAATGCAGAAACAGAAGAAAATGTGAAAAAGCAAGGCAGCATGATTCCTCCAAAACATAGCAACAGCACAAAAATGGACTCTAATGAAAGCAAAATAGGTGAAATCCCAAATGAATGATTCAAAAGGCTGATTGTAAGGATGATCAATGAAAAATTCCTGAATGATTGAAAATATCTGAATAAATTCAAAGAGAATGCATAAATTACTGAGTGAAATGAAAAAGAACATGCAGGATATGAAGGAAATTCAATAAAGATATAGAGATCATTACAAAAATCAAACTGAATTTCTGGAAAACAGAAGCTCAGTAAGTCAAAAACTCACTTGAAAGCCTGGCGAAAAGACTGGATCAAGTCAAAGAATGTCAGGGCTTGAAGACAAGGTAGATGAGTCAAATCATTCAGGTAAAGGTAAAGAAAAACCAAGGATCAATAAAACATTCAAGAACTCTGAGACACCATTAGAAAACCAAATCTATGAATCGGACAGAGGAGAAGGAAAAGAGGTGCAAGGTGAAGACATAGAGAACATACACAATAAAATAGTAACAGAAAACTTCCCAGCTATTGAGAAAAAGACTATCACTGGGTACAGGAGGCCTTTACAAAACCAAACAGACTATAAAGGGACACCCACACATAATATCATAGCTAAAATATGAAGAATGCAGAAAAAGGAAAGAATGTGGAAAGCTACAAGAGAAAAACACCAAATCACATATGAAGGCAAACTTATCAGAATAGCAAAAGATTTCTCAACAGAAACTCTAAAAGTCAGTGGGGCATGGAATGGTGTATTTCAAATCCTGAAAGAAAATAACTGCCAACCTAGGATGCTGTACCCATCAAAATCAATCCTTCAATATTGAAGGGTAAATAAAATCCATCCATGATAAACAAAAGCTGAAGGAATTCATGACTACAAAACCAGAAATGCAGAAAATACGTAAGGAATCCTACACACAGAAGAAGAAGATAAACACAACCAGGAAAATACAGGAAAGAATAAATTCTGCTAGACATGTAGATAAGATCTGAGGACTGGAAAGTATCAAACATTACAAAAACAACAAAATTAAGAATTGCCACACACTCTTCAATAATATCTCTCAATGTTGATGGTTTTAGTTCTCCAGTAAAAAATTAGACTGGCAGACTGGATTACAAAACAAGACACAGCCATTTGTTGCCTGTGAGAAATGAACCTCAGTTGAAAAGACAAATAGGGCTTAAAATAGAAGAATGGAAAATGATATTCCAAGCAAATGCAACCCAGAAGCAAGCAAGATTAACTATACTCAGATGTGACAAACTAGACTTCAAACCAAAATTAGGCCAAAGAGACAAAAAAAAAAAGTCACCTTATATTAATGAAGCGAACAATTCATCAAGAAAATATAATCACTGTAACATGCATGCAGTCAGGTGGGCACACCCAATTTCATAAAACACAAGGACATAAAAGCACAGATAGAGTCCAGCACACTAACAGGTGACTTCAATATTCCACTGTTGCCAATAGATAATCCATTCAGACCAAAGAAAATCAATAAAAAAAATAATAATGCAATAGATCAAGGGAACTTAACAGACATCTACAGAATATTCCTCCAAACAGCCACAAAATGCACATTCTTCTCAGCAGCCCATGAAACTTTTGGAAAACAATCATATTTTAGGACATAGAGCAAGTCTTGACAAATACAAGAAAATGAAAATACCCTCTTGTATGTTATCAGACACAATAGAATAAACATGAGATCATCTGGAAAAAAACTACAGGAAACATTTCACCTCATGGGGAATGAACAACACATGTTCAATGATCATTGAATGGTCATTGAGGAAATGAAGAATTCCTAGAATCAAATAAAAATGTAAACACAATTTACCACAACTTTTGGGACACAACAAAGGCAATGCTGAGAGGAAAGTTTATGGCTTTGAGTGCTCATGCTAGAATATCAGAGAGGTCTCAAATAATCTATTTATGCGCTTCAAGCTCTGTGCAAAAACACAAGCCAACCCCAAAGAAATAACAAAGGAATTGGAACTAGTTGGAAAGAAATAATAAAGGATAGGGCAGAAATTAGTGAAATGAAGACAAAAATAACAATACAAACAAACAAAGCACTGCTTCTTTGGAAAAACAAGATTGACAAACCCTGAGCCAAACTAACCAAAAGAAAGAAGGAAGACCCCAAATTAAATTAGATATGAAAAGGGAATATCCCTTAAAAACTTACATTCTAATAATTTGGAAAAATCTAGAAGACATGGATAAATTTCTGATGCAGGCAACTTACCAAAACTGAGCCAAAAAGATATAAACTACTTAAACAACTCAATAACAAACAATGAGACTGAGCAGTAATGAAGACTCTCCCAACAAAGAACATCCCCGCACCAGACAGACTCACTGCTGAATTCCGCAGGCCTCTAAAGAACGACTGACACCATGGCTGCTCAAACTAGTCCATGAAATTGAAAGGGATGGAATGCTACCACACTGATTCTCCACAGCCAGTATATGCCAAAACCAAGTACCCAACAAAAAGAGAAAACTGTAGACAAATTTCCTCCGAGAACATATACACAAATTCTCAATGAAACACTTGCAATACAAATTCCACAGCACATGTGAAAGACCACACACCATGATCACATCGGTTTCATGCCAGGAATGCAAGGATGGTTCAACAAATCAATAAACATAATACAGCATATAAACAGAATAAAGGGTAAAAAATCTCATGATCATTGAAAATTGAACGTCCCTTCATGATAAAAGCTCTGATGAAGCTAGGAATGGAAGGAATATACACAACAAACCTAAAGCCAACATTTTACTAAACAGAGAAAAACTGAAACCATTTCCTCTGAAGTCAGGAACACGACAAGGGTGTCTACTCTCCACTCTTGTTCAGTGAAGTGTGTGAATTCCTATCCAGAGCAACAAAGCAAGAGAAAGAAATAAAAGGATGTGAATAGGAAAGGCTGAAGTCAAATTGTTCCTATTTTGAGATGGTACAATCCTATACTTAAAGGATCCTAAAGACTCCACTGAAAACCATTCATCCCTGTGAAACACTTTCAGAAAAGTAGCAGGATACAAAATCAACATGCAAAGTCAGTAACTTTTCTGTACACTGACAATGAATTTACTGAGAAAGAAATCAGGAAAACAATTCCATACACAATAGCCTCAAAAAAAAATACCTAGGAATAAACTTAGCTAAGAAGATAAAAGACATCTACCCTGAAAATGATAAAAGAGTTAAGTGAAGACAGGATGGACAGCAGAGGGTGGACAGCCTTCCCACGTCCATGGACTGGCAGAATTAATGTGGAATGGCTATACTGGAAACCGTCTATGGATTCAGTGCAACCCCAAAGCAACAAAGCCAGTCTGGCACAAAAACAGACACACGGACCAGAGGAATAGAAAATTTGATTCAGAATGACCCACACAGCCTCAGAATCTGAGTTTTGACAAAGGCACCACAAACATGCTGGTGAGAAAAACAGCCTGTTCAGCGAGTGGTGCTGGTAAAACTGGATGTTCACATGTAGACTGAAGCTAGCCCATCTCTCACCCTGAACAAAAATCAGAGAAGACCTTAATGTAAGTCTTGTTGAGAGAAAAATATGGAAGAGTAAGGGTTATCAAATGGGATTGTATCACATTCCAAAGCTTCTGCACAACCAAGCAAACAGTTCCCAGAGTGAAGAAGCAGCCCACAGAACAGAAGGCAGTCCCTGCAGGCTATTCACTGGATGAAGCACTAATATCACGAATATACAAAGAGATCAAAAAACTAAACATTAAAAGAACAACTAATTAGTAAATGGACAAAATGTTCAACATCTTACTGACAGTCCATCTCAGCCCAGTCAGATGGCTGTCATCAAGACTAAACAAAACCTCAAATGCTGGCAAGGATGCAGGAGCGAAGGTGCCCTGATATATTGTTGACAGAATGGATGTCAGGATGTCAAAAAACTCAGAACCACCGTCGTGGTGCAGCTGTTTCCTTGCTGAGCAGATGTCAACACACACTAGCACACACTAGCAACACCTGCACACCCTTGTTCATTCACTGCAGCCAAACGATGAATCAGCCCAGGTGCACATCAGCCAACGAAGGGATAAAGAAAATCAGCAGAGTATTATTCAGCCACGAAGAAGAATGAAAGTATGTCATCTGCAGGAAAATGGATGCAGCTGGAGATCGTCATGTTGAGTGAGATCAGCTGAGCTAAAAAGCCAGCTATCTCATGTTTTTTTGTCATCTGGAATCTTGGTCTAAATAACAATAATAAAATAAGCCATGACTTAAAAGGGAGGTTGTGGGGCTAACCGTGAGGGGAGGATGGGAGGAGAGAGTGACAGGGAGGATGGGAGGAGAGAGTGACAGGGTGAATGTGAACTTGCAAGCATGTGTGGAAAGCTAACCCTCTGGAAACTGTAAGAAGGGGGCGCGAGACCAGGATTAGGAAAGTGTACAGAGCGCTGAGTTTGATCCAAGTACACATCTGCACGTATAGAAAAATCACTGTGAGACCCATGTGTACTAATGAAGTGACTGATGAAAACAGAAAGGGAGGATGGCGTCAGCACAGAAGAGAAAGAAACCCTAACGATGAATGCACTGAACTCAAGATGGACATCAGTGACATGAGGCTTATTTTGTGTAGGAGAGTGATACACCATCTCTAGCCCAGGTCTGTCTTACACTTAGCGTGTTGGCGCTCATTTTGACAGAGTTTGTCTGTAGCTCAGTCATTCCAGGAGCACCCCACGGCTGAGATGGCTAATCGGTGCCCCCAACCTACTGTCCCCTCAGACACAAGACCCGGAGGCCAAGGGACAGCTGGACATGTGGACACCAAGCGCAAAGACTGGGTTTCTCCCCGCGGCTGCCGCAGTAGCGTCTGTGTCAACATTCTGTACGATGGCCAGGAACAGAAGCTGTGATCCTGGCATCCGTGCCTTTTCTCTGTGGTGACAATGGGGCCGGGCTGCTGTCTCCCAACCCAGAGATGAAGCCATGAACAACGTGCCCCATGAAAATGAGAGAAATAATCTTGTTTGAGCTGTTGTTAAGTTGCAACATTGTCCCCAAGCCATGTCATTGCTTCACTTAAGATTTAGCTTCACATAAAAGGTTAAAAAAAAAACAACAAAACCTCGCAGCTAGAACAGACGTTGTTAAGACAGATAGACTTGAATGTAGAATGACTATTAGAACTTGTGTCATTGTGGGTTACATTGGCTGTGCTTAGATGATGTCACATTGAAATGTCTATATACTTAACTGACAGCTAATGCAAATATGACAAAATATTAGTGACTGAGTCTGGGTGATAAGTATACAAGTTTGGTTGTACTACTCTCTGGTACTTTTTGTATGTGTGAAATTTTTCACAATAAAAATTTAAGAGATAAAACAGTAACACGTGGTTTGCACCTGGAGCTGGCAGGGCGAAAGTCAAGGCACTGTGTGCGGAGTGAGGAGCCCTTGGGACAAAGGACAAAGCTTTCACAGGTGACAGTTTGCACTATGTGTCCCAGACCTGGAGGCAGCACGCTTTCTGCTTGCAGACTGGATGACTTTGTCAGTGTTCCCTGTGACTCAGATTAAATGGCAGAAGCTAGCATCAGGACATATGTGGCAGACCCCAAGGACGAGTTCATTAGCGAGTGCACCTCACTTTCACCTGGGTGGTGCCCATGGCTGTCACTGTGACCCTTGTATGTTCTGTGAGGTCCACATCAGCTGTGGGCGCCACAGCTGCTCTGTCACAATGAGACGCCATATGGTCACACCATCATCACAATAACTGCTCTTTGCTGGATGTGGGACTTCACAGTCACAGTGTGAAAGCCAAACTGTTAGAGAATAAATGACCCAGCCCAGAGTGAAAGGTTTAAAATGTCACCAGCATGCGGCATCTCACAGGAGCTGCATGGTGGGGACAAGTCGGGTACCTGGGGGGCCGATGGCCTCGGCAGGAGGACTTTCCACCCCGTGTTCCTCAGCTTCTTGGCATCCGTGTTTACGAGTCATCGGGGTTGCTCGCTTTCACTGATCGGGCTGGCGTTGACGCCCATGTGACAGGCACAGAGTGGAGCCGAGCTCGCGTTGGTTACCCTTATTTATAAGCACAGCAGTGGCAGAAGCAGAGTCGTATGTACTGTGCATAAAGTTTAAGTGAAAGAAACCTCCCAATCCCATGGGATAGAAAAGTCTAATTCCAGGTAATGCTTACAGTGACAATGACAGCAGATGACTCAGAGTAACTCCAGAAAGCACCACTGCCTCCATCCACACTTTGCACCAAAATTAGTCACTCTTGAATAAAGGAAAATTGTGACACACCATGTATTTGAGGGCAGTAATTTTCTTTTCCCTTTGAAAACTTTAGAGGGTAAAACCATTATATTTCCACAGGACTTCACTTAGAAGGAAAAGGAAGAGGCAAAGTGACATCTTCACTTGCAGTTGAAATGTTTCTTTCACGGCCAGAGACAGAATTCCAAGGTCACAGTCCTAATGACAAAACCAGGTGGCATGGTGACTGGACCTGAAACTTCAAACACTGCAGTGTTGCCAAGCAAGCGTTCCACATGGCTCTTTGGTGATGGAGGGCCACAACCTCGTTTAGGAAAAGTGTCATTCCTGGTCCATTCCTCGCACAATAAAAAATGCTACTCAGGAACTCGGAGAACTCAGATTGAAATGAGTACGTGTGAAATAGTTCAGGCTCAAATCACCTGAGGAGTTTGTCATCACACAGCAGAAGCCCAACACATGGCACCCGCTGCGGGTCCTGTCGCTGAACCAGCAGCTCACACGTGGGACTTTCTGTAAATGTCATCAGCCATAAATCTAAGCTGATCATGACAGTCCTTGAGAAATGAGCTTCTCCTGGGGCTTGTCAGCCTGGAGGACATCATATAAATGCACACATTCTCTTTCATGCCATCAAATTGTCCTGAAGGTGACAGTAACCAGTTCCATTCTTCCCATGGCTGCCTTGCTGTGCGGGTCAGGGCCATGTCTGAGGATCCCGTCCATATAAACGCACTACTCAGACTTCATTCTGTCCTGGTCCCCAAACACAGAGACCCATGAGTGCTGAGGGCATGGCCGTCCACAGGGTCACCCTGCCGTCCAGAATCCTCCAACGTCACATCTTAGTTTCTTTCAATCAAACACTGGCCATTGACCTCAATGGCTCTGCATGGTGGGAGGAGAAAAGGTGATGGTGTCAGAGAACATTTCCCGGATTTTTCCTGGAGTGGCTCCTTGTCATCTGTACTCACTCACAATGTCACTTTGCCATCCTGACCTTGCTTTGCAAGACATCCCACTCTGGTCTTCAGCAGCTATACTTGGAACAGCAGCCCTGCACCTGTTCAGATGGAGTCAAGGTTTCTTGTGTAAACATTTTGTCACATTCTCACAAAACGACGTGCAGTCGCTTTATGTGCAGGTCCTACGTCCGTGAATTCAACCACCACAGACTGAAGTATTCAGAAAACTGCATCTGCATTGAGCAAGCGCAGACTTGTGTTTCTTGTCAATATTCCCTGAACAATTCAGCAAAGTTATTCACACAGCATTGATATCCTGCTATGTATTTTGTGAGCAATCTAAATGTGATTCAAAGTACACAGGAAGATGTGTGTCAGTTACCGGCAAATATTACACCGTTTTATATATGAAACGAGCATCTTTGGGGACTGAACCCAATCCCCTATGATCACTACCTACTGTGTAAGACAGCTGGGCAGCACCTCACCCACCACTGTGGACTGGACTGCAATGGCAGGCTAGGCAGCAGCCCTTTTGTTCACATATTTATTCATGCCGAGTTAGCCCAATTCCTCTCCTCCCTCCCCCAGCTATTGTGTCATTATGGCAGATATAAATATAAAAACATCTGATGAGTTTTTATAGGCAGGTCAAGTTATTCTACAAACTTCTGTGTGAAAAACACATAGCTTCCTGATGGGTATTTTGGGTAATTGTGTGTTGAAATCTGCTTCCTTTCTAAATGATTTCTGAGAACCGACAGAATAATGATATTTTCACAGAGGTAGTTTTTAAGCTGCTTGGTTCAAGTCTTGGTACTGATCTTAAATGATAGATTTCTTCTTCAAATGAAAGAACCCCCTTCCGTTGTTAGCTTATTGTAGAATCTGTTTTAATGTGAAAAGTCAGTCAGGACTGTGGACTGAATGCCTCTCCTTCCTTCTCTCTCTCTCTCTCTCTCTCTCTCTCTTTCTTTCTTTCCAGGGACCAGGAAGAAAAGGAAATCTAAATTACAGTCAACTCCATCTTCAAAAGTAAGTGACAGTGTTGCAAATTTGCTTTCTCTACAGAAAAACTGACAGTTTTCAGAAATGCCTTTTTTTTTTTACTTATTTTTCTGGTGGTCCTGGGGTTTGAATTCTACCACTTGAGCCACTCCTGGCCCTTTTTGCTTCAGTTCTTTTTTAGATGGGATCTCACTTCTTGTCTAGGGCCAGCCTCAGACATTGATCCTCCTACCTGCCTCTTGCATAGCTGAGATGACAGGAATGATCACCATGCCTGGCTTGTTTTTTGAGATGGGGTCTCACTAACTTTTTGCCCAGACTGGTCTCGAATGATGATCCTCCCAATGTCTGCCTCCCAAGCAGAACTGTCTTTAAAAGCCATCAGAATGTGAATTGTTCTTATGTGTCCTAGAGTAACTAATTTTATGTTGCTTTGGGGACCATGGGGTTTGTCTTCCTGTTGAATGATAAACGTTCTGACAGTGAAACAAGGAGACTTCCCATCTTTACTTTTGCCTCAGATCCTTGGACTCTGCCCTGGTTCTTGGATAAATAGTGAGCCACTGAACCGGGTCACTTGGGATACTCACAAAGCGACTCTGCAATGGGTTTAAATCCTGTGAGCAGCAATGAGCACTGTCCCCTAGCTGTGAGCTTATAAATGACAATGGCCTCTGCCATTTATGGTCATTTATGGCAAATGACCCTGAGTCACTGAACCAGTCACTTCGGTGTTGCCCCATCTTTTCCTGATGACATCAGCATCTGCATATCCGAGGAAGATCCCCAAAAGGCGGCTTTCTGGTTTTGTAAGTGATGGTGTCTAAACTCGTCCCCAGAAAGCTGAGGACAGGTGGCCTTTTAACCTAAGGTCCCTGTGGTCAGTATCAAATCCAGTCCCCCCGGTAATAATAATAATAAAAAGACTTGGCTCTTCTGGGAATATTGAGGCTGCTCCATGCTGTGGAATAGATTCAGCATCACTTTTATAATCGCTGATGTATCAGAAGGCCAATTACACGACAAAGCCATCAGGGTTCGGCCTCTGGGTCTCTGCTGATCAACTTTCCGATAGAAACGTGCAGCTCAGCCTGTCCCAGCTTCAGGGCTTTCCCGACTCAGTCCTTGTGGAGTTGAACTCGGTGAGTCCTGGACTATAGGTGTGTACAATGCCACCAGACACTGCAGAAGCCACAAGCAGAGACGCTGGCTGGCTCGGGCATGTCCAGTGCTGCTGGATGCCTGCCAGGGACTCCGAGAGTAGTGGGGGGACACTGAGGTCCCTAGGGCAGAGGAGCTGAGTTGCCTTGTCCCATCTCTCCCTCCCGGCCTCCAAATACAGGGTGTCTCCCAACCCTCCAAGGGACCCTAACAAGAACTTCCCATAATAATCTCTCCTGGCCCCACTTTTTATGAATGAGGCATCAGCATTTCACAGAATATTTAATATTCTTTTTTTGGTGGTACTGGGGTTTGAACTCAGGGACTTGTCCTTGCTAGGCAGGCTCTCTACCACTTGAGCCAGCCCTTTTTGCTTTTGTTTATTTTTCATATCGGGTCTCACTTTTTCCTGAGGTCATCCTCAGACCACAATCCTCCTACGTCTGCCTCCCTCCTAGCAGGAATTACAGGTGTGAACCATCACGCCC